CACGGTGCGCGGACCCCCTGCAGCACCTCGTCCATTTGATTTCTTGCAGAGATGGAAAACCACTTCCAAAATGGATTTCGGACCCCTAGTAAGCCATAAATGTGGACCAAATTCTTTTGAAGTTTCTGTTGTCAGTGAACGCTATGAAAGGGCAAGAACTATTGCAGAAGACATTTGGAAAAACAGAAAGTCATTCGCGAGTAAGTTCACGAAGAAGCCTGAAGAGGTGTTTGAAGAGGATGAAGGGATGGTCGTGACGGCGTTCTTGAAGTCTTTTAAGCCTGAAAAGGAGCCTGAAAAAATGTCCGTGGTGGCGTTCTTGGAGTCTTCTTATCCACCCTCGAACACCTCTATAACGGCGTTCTTGGTGCCTTCCTATCCACCTACGAAAACCTTTACGTCTGTGGAAGAACCATCTTCCACGTCTGACTCCCAGAGCGAAGCTGAGGACACTAATGCCACGTCTGACTCCCAGAACGCCGCCAAGGACACACCTATCACGAACATGGCCTCTTCAAGGTTTGACTTAAGGAACGCCCCCAAGGACACGCGTGACGCGCACGAGTTCTTGAAAGCTTCCCTTTTAGCTTCACTTCGACGAGAACCATCTTTCAAGGCAAACGACGGCGAAGTAGATGTAGCAACAATGAGAGGAATACTGGAGCCAGCCTTTTTTTGGGACGTTGACTTCTTCAACATCTGCTACTTCATAGTTCTAGAGATGCTGTATCCGACTCTCAACATTGCTGAGGATCCCAACAGGATCCCAACAGTTTTCAGAAGAGTCCGAATCCCTACATTCCCGACATTGATCCCAACGCTGATCCCGATCGGAATGCCTATGAGTAAGTCCGGACTTCTGTGAATGTCCCGTTTTGATCACACATTCAACAGGGATGGGAGTGGTGTAATCCGGGAGAGACGATGGCAAATTCACCACTGTAAGTCGCAAACATGAAGCTTTCTTCATTGAAGTCTCAGGACTTGGGATGGATACAAATTAGTACCCCCCACTGACAAAAATGAGATGGAATTGTGGATTTGCAAATACACAATCCTGAAAAAGGGATTCGAAGTGTTTCCTCCTAACCTGTCTTGTCTTGAAAAATTTTCAAAACCAAAGCTGAAGGAGGTTTTAGCGAATGGATTGAAGAAATTCAGGGAGAGGGATCTGCAACTGACGAAGCTCTACGATAGAATTCGCAAAACAATGCTGTGCCAAACTTCCTTCGTCAATATCGAAAAAACAGAGGGCTTGCTTCAGACGATTTCTGAGGTGGTAGAGGAGGAGGAGGAAGCAGTACAGGTGAGAATTATGGAGGGTGCCTGATGTTGTCTTCATGGTGATTGTTGGCTGGACCAATTTTTTAACGGGGACTATACATCACTATTGGAGAACCCCTCTGTTATAAAGACAAGGAGTCCACAGAGGAATTATGCGCAATGTTTGGGAAGTCGTTCCTCGAAAATCTGGTTGACCGCTACAAAAAAACTACAGATGGGACGGCAGCTACAAAAAGGCTGCCAACTAAAGAATGGAGGCCGAAGGAACTTCAGTCTGTTAGATTTATACGCGGAGCTCTAAAAAAGCTATTGATGGGAGAGCGAAACTGCTCAGAGACTGTCGTGTAAGTAATTCCAGGAATGCGGTCTTTGAGGAGTTAGGCTTACGAAGGCGAGGACTAAACGAAGAAAGAAGGTTTTCTTTAAAGGGGAATAATGAGAAAGGACAAAGAGTGATGGAGACCAACCGAAATAGCGTCGCGTCTCCTGGACTTCATTTGTTGAAACCCCCTTGCAAGTGCTCCACTAGCAAATGCTTCTAGGAAGGCGACTGCTTCAAAAATTGCTTTTTTGTTGAGTTCACGGTGAGTTGCGGTTTCCAGTTTCTAAGATCTGCATCGTTATGTGGGTAGGAACAAGAAGAAGGTGTTGGCTTCAAGGCAACGCATTTTAGCTCCAAAAGAGCTTGATGCTGCAGACAAGCGCATTCGAAGATATTTGTTCAAGCATGGTGGAATCAAGAAAATCTCAGCAAGGGCAGCAATTCGTAAAGCACTAAAAAGGGTGGCACCAAAACAGAAGTTCTCAAAAAAGTTGGTTCGTTCCGCAGCAAGAAAACTTGAAAGGGAGTGTAAAAGAAAGAAGGGAGTGCCAAGCAAACAACGTATCCAACAAAAGATTTAAAATTTTCTGCTTAATCTACATCGGCTCCAGTACATCGTCTCCAGTACATCGTCTTTACTGCTTAATTTGCCATTCATGATGCTTGAATTGTGATCTGCGCTTCATTAGTTTCATCATATGTTTGTTTTAGTATTGTTCGTATTCCTTTGTGTAACAAGTCTTTGTTCTTGTGTAACAAGTCTTTGTTGTGTACACAAGTCTTTGTTCTCATACTCAACTCTTCTTTTTGTATTCCAAGTGCTTTTAGTTTCTAACAGAAACCCGGAATCGAATCAAAAAAATTCAGCTGAGATGGTTAATTGCACCGTAAGGACTCGTAGCTCACATATTCCAAAGCAGTACAGCCAGTAAACACTTTGTCCAACAGCAACTCCACAAGGACCCCAATCGACAATAATAACACATATACAACATCACAAGACACATTCGAGCTCAACGCCTTTCAGAAAAATTAATTCAACAAAGACCATCACCGCGAGATCAGTCCATATAAAGGACTCTGAACCCCAAAGATCTGTTCAAGGAGGATGCTGCTGAACCAAAAGTATGACGCCACCAGCGAATGTCTTCGCTGAATCAGGTTTATCTATGGACCTCACCAAGTCAATGGAATCAGACTCGTTAGTCGCGATCATGGAGATGATGAATACGTTGCCTCGCTTAGAATACATTGTCGCATCTCTCCACTGATTCGAGTCCTGGGATGTGGAGATCACAACCGATTTCGGTTTGTTCGATTACTCCTTGTTCATCCACTTTGGGAATCTGTCTTTCTGGATGATCTTCTGTTGGGAAAGTTTCCGCATCGAGTGTGAGTACGGGCTCCAGTCGCGCTTGTTGGGCACCCTCGCCAATTCATCGGCCACTATTCACTAGGAGCGTCATGCCCATTTTTCCCAACCTCAATTCCCTCTGAGGATAACTTTTCGAACCAGTCTTGGGCTTCACTCTTGCAGTTCCCCCCTTTATTATGCTGCGTGTTTGCCATAATCATAATCTATTTGACTCTCAATTTTGTGATGTGTGTGTTTCGGGCTGAAGAGAGTTTTTTACTATCTTGTCGTTGTAATCGGGGCACAACTGTGACCATTGTCCACCAGAAGCACTCGGACTAGCAAGTCATATCGCCGAAGTCGCACCAACAAGTGCCACTCCGGCCTTCACCTTGTTTACTGTGTACGGCTGCAAAGAACCTCCCAGACAGGGGTGAGCGAATTCAAAAATACTAAAACTCAGCTCTGTGGGTGTCCAAAACGAAAACTCAAAATGAAACTGTAGGTGTGTTGCTCTGCTGTAGCCCGATTTTACTGTCCACACGCGAGTTTCCCAGTTACCCGCTTCTACTGATTAACAGAAGACCACCCCGCACCGACATGAAGGCATTAAATGGAGAGAGACTTTCAAAGCGAAACGGCTAAAGAGTCTAATTGGATACAAAATGTGGTTGAGTTTGGCTATCAATTGGCGTATCGATGACGCAAATGAGAGGCGAATTCGGAGACCATAAACTGGTTCCATGCTGACGCTCCAGAATCTCTACTCGCAACTATGGGCTCTTGGTTGCCATTTCCACCCAAATCCCCACTTGTTTCAATCCCCACTTCGTCAGCAGTCCCATCCATTCTCTGCCAGTCGAACGACCCGAAACGAGGAAGTTCTGATTCATTCTGGTCCCGAAATTGTGTTTCTAGCTCCCCAACTTTCTCCTGTGAGAAAAACGGCAATCTATCAACGCAGTCAGGAATCTCGACAAGCAGTCAGGCAGTCAGAACGCAAACCTACCAACAAGTCAAGACAGCTGGTTTCTATTCTGAGCAATCGTCTAACCACTCGTGACTCAAACAATTGCAGCTGTAATGCGGAAACACAATTATTATCTTATGGAACCGCAATGTCCACTTACGATTTTACGAACCCATCTTGCGACTGTCGCCTCTACGGGATTTGCGTTAATAATTAGACGGTCTAATTCGACAATATCACGGTCCCATGAATTTCGTCTATTGATGATTGTGAGAGATCGATCTCGGGACCGTTTTTTGCGAAGAGCTGAAGGTCGTCGATGAAGCGAACCGATGGAACACGGCGGTGAGGTGATTGTTCTGGGAAGTCTTGATCTTCTATGACTTGCTGGTGGATTTGCATTTGCTGGTGGATTTGCATTTGCTGGTGGATTTGCATTTGCTGGTGGGTTTGCTGGCGAAGTGGATGATGAATTTTTTGATGAATTTGTTCGTTGATTTGCTGATTTATCACTCGTCTGAAACGAAATGGTTGATAAGGCGTTGGATTGGATTATCTTCTTCGCAAGGGGGGGGCAGAGACTCTTTGGAAATACACTTTTGAATTTTATTCGTTTATGAAACATCTCGTCCACTCCACCAATATTGTGTACTTACAAAATGAAATGCCAGAGCAGGCAGTATGACGCAAAGAATGGCGACGGCAATAAACCATGAGCTACGAGAAGAGACGGTAAAGCCACCGATTCTGATGAAAATTACCTTCCGAAGAAACCTATTTGACCCTTCTTGTGACGAAGAGCGCATCTTGCTGATTGGAGAAAGACGCTGGCCCTTTCCACATTCAGCCTCCAATCTGGAAACCGACACGAAGAGACTGCCAGAGTTATCGATGTTTTGGCAGTATCAACAAGTTTCCTCCAATTTTCGCTAATTTGCTGTCCAGACGAACAAATCAATACCCCATGTACCATCAGCCCTGCAAATTGAATCCATTGTGGTGTTATCCACTCTCCCTTCCCACACCCCACAAAGCGCAAGACTCCCGTGCCTGGTCCACTTGCTGGAGGAATGGATTCAGTCTTTCAGCGCATCCAACCATCTGAATACTGCAAGCGTTTCTTAGAATTTCAAATTCGTCCAGATGGTCGCCATCTCGGCGAAGTACGAGATGTCAGGGTGATGAAAAACGTCCTGAAAGAAAGTCCTTCAGTGATCGGATCCTCAATCGTCTCCGCTGGCCACTCTCGTTTTCTTGCTGCAGTTACCGCTGAAATTGCCCCTCCTGTTCTCTCTGCTCCAAAAGCTGGAAAAATCGTGGTTAATCTTGAATTTCCGAAAACTTGTGGCGCTTTGGACGTCAATCGTGATGCGGGTGAAGATATTGCGAGTCTCGCCGCCCAAACAAGCGTTTCGTTGTGCCATATTTTTTCAAGTCAAGAAGTAATTGATTTGAAACAATTTTGTGTGAAAGAAGGGAATGCTGTTTGGGTCCTTTATGTTAATATTATTTGTTTAGAATACGATGGAAATGCAACTGATTGGAGCATCTGTTCAGCTGCTGCCGCTCTAGAAGATTCTGTCCTTCCCGCAATCGTCTGGGATCCCAAACATCAGTGGTGGAGGATATCCGATGATAATGACGAATCAGATAACAAAGACGAACTAGAAACTCAGAAAACGGAAAACACCTTCTGGGAAAGTCGAAGGGTTGTTCTGACAGCGCGGCCATTAAGTGTGACGCTCGCGAAACTTCTGGAAACATATTGGATTGTCGATCCTTCTATGGACGAGACCCAGCTCGGTGAACTGATCACAATCTGGAGAGCAACAAAAGCAGATCCAACCGATGCGACATCTAATCAACTGCATTTTCTTCGCCCTGGAGGGAGCGCTTTGGAAGTTCAGCGTCTATTGCACTCATTGTTCGAAGTCTCTCATAACGGGATGGTTGCTATGCAAACTGCAATTGATAATGCAGTCAAGAAAGAAGGTGTTGATATGTGGGAAGTTTGTTGTAGTGATGGCGATACGGATTGAGGTTGTGTGTTTGGCTTCTTTTGTGTTTGGCTTCTTTTGTGTTTGGCTTCTTTTGTGTTTGGCTTCTTTTGTGTTTCTGCTCCGAATTTCGAAACTAGTGTGTTTGTACTCCAAATTTCGAAACTAATGCTTCTAGCACCGCGCAGATTGGGTTTGAGTCTAAAAGAAAAAGCCGCACAACAAGAAGTCTGCCGCCAAAGAGACAATGAGCGGGAGAACGCTTGGACGCCACATCGTTAGGATCCTAGAACCCCACATGATTAGAATCCGAGTTTTGTCCTTCTCCAATGTCTTCTCTTCGCGTTGTACTTGATTGTGTTGTTTGTTTTCATGCGCACCCAATGAGGAATGGGGGCGGTTCTGCTTTTGCTTCCGACCTAAACGCTTTTTAAGTTGAAGGACCCTTGATGGCGCCCTGAAAACAAAGAAGGAGAAAAGATGGGAAAATAATCTCAAACATGTTTCAAGCATCTAGGAGGGACGACGACATAATCAAGAGGCAAGACGTCATAATCGAGCATCAAGACGTTCTCTACGACGAACCATTTTTGCTGCTTGGAGATCGCGGACGGAGAGGTCTAGAGGGAGCAGGCAAAAGGTACTGGACCACTTATTTGTGGGGGGTGATTTTCCCAAACAGATGTCCCAGAGGGACTAAGGTTCGATCTTAAGCTCACATGCTTATAAAAAATACAGTTAAATGGAAGTATTAGAAAAGCAAGCAAGTTTACGGGGGTTACTGCTGGAGGTCGTTCCAGCTGCATTAGGGGTTCTTGCTGCCCCAAGCAGGTTTGTGCAACAGAATGGAACAATTTTTGTACTTGAGGAGCTGAGTGAACAAAAGGGCGATTCCAAAAATTAAAGAGCGGATTTTTAATCAATTCGATGAACGTAATTAGAAGACCCCAAGGATGCGGACGATGAGCAATAAGACGTTCAAGGAGAACACTGCAAAAGAAATGAATAGAAAAAGAAATGAATGAGAAAAAGAAATGAATGAGAAAAAGAAATGAATGACGCAAATGAAAAACAAATGGACCGCACAATAAACAAACGATGAGCAAGAGGATGGTATGGAAGCAACTGTCCTGAGTTCATTGTGTTGTGTAACTCAATAGAATTACTTCCTCATGTAGTAATGAGAATTTCCTCATTTAAGTATGAGATTAGTCATTTAATTATAAGAATATCTTCGGCACTCACCGAGTGATTTGTTCTTGAATCGCTGAACCGTCACCCGCTTCTTGAAACATCCATAGCAACATGCAACTGAAGTAATGTGTGTGAAGGTTTGGATACCGCAGATGATTAGCGATGCAAGATGCTAGCAAGTAGCGGCCTTCAGGGTCCAAATGGGACATGAGATAGAATAACAGTCGCGCTTCAGCTGGAGCTTCACCGATTGGGACAACCGAGGACGAACCCTACAAACAAAATTCAACTCATATTCTAACCCTCCTCTTAGACATGTCAAATAGGGAATCACGGGATCCCAGATTCCCACCCAATTTCAAACATGGGATCCCAGATTCCCACCCAATTTCAAACAGCTTACAAAAGTGACCACCACTTCATCTTGATTCGCATGCGATACAACATGCAATAGCAACGCATCGCACAAGGACAAATCATAGCGGGACCCATCGGGTTGAGATCCTTCAGTGACTTGAAGCTTCAGAATAATTTGATCGAGATGATCGGAATTTTTCGTGGTCCAGTAGCTTTGCAACATTCTATCAACGCCACTCCGTAAAAGAAGAACCACAGAATGAGTTGCAAGATGAGGCACGCGGCGATTTTCCCGAAGCTGATCGACCTGAGAAATACAAATGCGTGGAGGAGAAAGTCTCTGGAGACATTCAGAGTACTGGGGAGAAATCACATTGCGTGCAAAATCATCAATGGACCTTCGTGGTGAATGTATATATCTATAGTCAACTCATGTACCTTCAAATTCGGCATGAACGGATCTGGCAATTTAATCTTTCGGGGGAAGGAGGAGAGAATCAAGTTTCGTAACTGCACAGAATTTGGGGGAAGATTTTGACAAAGATCGACGTGATAATCGCATAAAAATTCCGGAAAGTCATGGAGAAGAACCAACAAGAGGCGAACAACTCCTGAGAACCAGAATCAACACAATAATAAGAAACTCCAGAGTAAAGAATGGAAATGGTTTCAGAAAATTGCAGACACACCTTTGTAGAGGGCTTGAACTCCGACGCCGAGTTTTACTTCGTTCAGGAATGGGTACATAAACCGTAGAAGGAAGACCAACAAACGATGGTAATGGGGCCATCCACGCAAATGGCGCAACATTTTAGGCAAGAAGCATCGGTGTGAAATGAGTTCAAGCCAACAGAATACGAATGATGGGCACTCACACGGACTAAGAACCTAAGATAACGGAATAGAAGGATTATGAATGGTGCCAGAATTGAATGGTTGGCCGTTGGTTTGATTGAATGCCAGATGAATCAAATTCTTGATGCTTCAAGGTCGGTCTCACCTGATAAATACTGGCGAAATAAAGCAAGCATGGCACGGCGTAGGAGTCAAGGCCTCGACCCGGTTGTCCCACTTCCCAAATCAAACTCAGAAGGAGACGATAGTAAAGCTTCTGAGGCAAACCCTTTGCAGACGCCTCAGCATCCCTGAAAGAAAACATGCATCACATGAACATACGCAAGCGAGTAGAAGCAGCAGCGTCTCCTGCAACGTTTGCTTGACTGACATCCTATGAAGACACTCTCCCCTTCCCCCAAGAAAGAGACAAGGAATCTTACCGATGGACAGCACGTGCGATGACCGATAAGGCTCTCTGAAGGATCAGAACTGGTGAGATCTGACTAGGATCGATCAACCGCATCATAGCAACGATCATCTTCGCTAACGCATCAATTGGTTTCATATTGGGACCGCCACAATCGAGAACGGGAGGAGTTTCGACATCAACTTCCGCTGGTTGCTCCTCCTCTCCTCCAGTCGCCTCGGGAAGCTCTTGGGCTAATTGTAGCGCGCGATCGACGCATCCACTGAAGAACCGATCCGTGTCCTCATCCATTTGCAACAATCTTTGCTTTGAAAGTGTCTGAAAGAATTCCGCCCAGACTTTTGATCTGCGATCCGAACCAACGACAAGAGCACAAACTGTCCATTGATCGAACAGAGCCGCAAATGCTTGTTGGCGTTCTGGGGGTAAGACGCACGGAGCTGGAAGTTTCCGAATGCGGATAATTTGACCTCCAACTGTCGCATAATTATCTAAAAGCTCTGTGAATGTTATAATTGTGTCCGAGAGATCTGGTTGATTGTCTTGCGGCTCTTTGAGTCCCTGAAACTCATTGCATTAATATGTTCGATGAGGAGGACGCTAGTGACGCCTTGAGTTTCATGAGGTCCCACCCGTTAGTGAGGATCGTGATGAAAACTAACCAGCTACTCGCTTACTTTATTAATGGCATCAAGCACAGTCTGCCGCACTTCACCAATCTGTTGAGGCGGTTTATTGTCAAGAGTCACGAGCGAACGACTCAGGAGAGCAGCTAATGAAGACGGCTCAGCTGCGTCAGTCGAGACGGGCAAACGAAGTGTCAGTTCACGACAGCCTTTCATCTCGTTGAGAGCTCCAGACACATCATCGACCTTAATAGACGTTTGAGTTGCAATCCTAAGAACGAAGATCACTAGCTCTTAGAATGAGCGATTAAAAAAACCTACCGATGAAGAACTTTCAGAACTGTTTCAAACACAGCACTGTCTCGCTTTTCAACAGAAGCAACGGCTTGCTCGACTAATACTTGATCTGCTGATGCGAAACTGAGGAGCTTGTACCTAAACAGTCCTGTAATAACGTCAGTGCTGAAACGTCGCTCGACGAGAGCTTGTGGCAGCCAGGCGCTCAAATCAGCATCAAACTGGTGACGAGGAAACTTGTCTAATCTGGATACTTGAGCCAATATGGCCAAAAAGATCTCAAGATATAAACCCGCGACATCCGTCCCTCTCGCTAATTGATGCTGGCGGCAAAGGGCTCCGGCGTCAGTAATCATTTTCAAAATTCGTTGACAAACACTCAACAAGGCCATTTCCGTATCCCGTGCGGATCCACAGCATGCAGGAACCGCAAGGACTGCAGCAAAAACTTCGTGGCATGAAGGCAGCCGGCACAAGAGCGAAAGGCTCTGGTTGATGCATTGTGGCACATTGCTGCTTTCGAGACATCCACCAATAGGGGAAGAGAACTGAAAAGACAAGTATGGAAAGAATGAATATTTTGTGGAGATGAAACACAGACGGAAGTCGTAATACCTTTGTTTCTGGCGTGACTTTGATAGACAGGACTGGATAACAAAAGGCGACTTCATGAACAATATCCTTAATTTGGGACAGAGCCGACTCCACACGCATTAACACGGTCTATAGCAAACACTTCATGAGAAAGATCAATCCAATGAAGTTCTTACCGTTTCGCCGTCTCCACTGCCTTGTGGCGTTGGACAGGAATCTGCTACAGTAGCGGACGATGGTTGTCCAGACGCTGGCGGGGTCGCGATTGGGGCTGTCCCTGATGTACCTTCTGTCAGTTGGGGTGGCGCGAGACTTGGAGGTGTAGAGGTTGACTGCATCCTTCTTAGAGGGCCGAATGTCAAAAAGTCCTTGTAGACCTGAAGTTGATCTCCCGTCAACGCGGGACGCGGCCTTAGGACTT